GTTCCACAGGCATATAACGTGGTGATCAGCAGTGAGGATTGTTGCTTAAATACCTTAAGGTAACAATAGTGAAGAAAACATCCATCTGAATCAGGTCTGTACAAGTATAGAAATATGTGTAGATGTAGAATGCAGTTTCGTTGCAGTAAAAAGCCAAATTATTCCTAATAGGAAGATATTAATATGCTAAAATCCCCTCCACTGACAAATATACAGGGTAATTCCAAGGGAAAAATGGTGACCCAAGAACATTAAGTTTTACAAGGCTTCTTCATGTCAACAGATATCATTATTTTCAAGCTAGTTACAGAGTCAAATTCCATGGTGTTATCAGGTCAAATTTCACGGCTGAAGAAACTGAAGCTACAGTTTACAAATGTGTAGCTACATGGTGTAGGATGATTGCATGCTACAAGTAATACTACAACATCAAGGGTGTTAGATAGTGGCGAATGCGTGCGTAGTTCACAATCAGGAAACCTCATTCTTAAGCTAGGTGGAGTGCTTTGCCATCAAACATATTCAAAAAATCAAACAACTGGAACAGGACAGGAGTTCCTCTGAAATGGGATATCTTAAATTGTTCACAAGATTTGGCAAACTGAATACCAAATATGGCATCGTGGTGAGGAAGGATTCTAGGCCATTGTGTCTTCAGGAATATTCCACAGCCCTTCATGAATTGAGTTCAGGAGCAACTTTACAAAATTACCAAAATGGGCATCATTTCCCTAATGATCGAGTAGCTTCCAGGCCTGGTTATTGTATCCAAGTCCAACCTATCCATCAAATGTGTGTCAACCTAACATGGCTTAACAAATAAGCAGCAAGGAAAATCCAACCGTGTCACCAGTCAACGAGAGCTGAAATTTATTGTCTAAAAGTAGAGTGGGTTTTTTTCCAAACTAAATAGTGGGGCAAAGGATCAATTTTGAGAAGTCGTGATAAATCAGAGTAGAGACAAGGCAAGAGGGAAACTATAAACAGAGTATGACAGGAAGAGATGTAGAGTACAAATCTAAGAAACCAATCAGCAGAAAGGCAATAAAAAGATTGAAACTAAAGGCTCTATATCTGAATGAATGAAGCGTTTGAAACAAAACATATGAATTAATAGCACAAATAGAGATAAATAACTATTAGCCGAGAGTTGTTACAGAGAAAAGGCTGGTAGATGATATTGACTCTGACTGGAATATTGGAGAGTAGGAAGGAGAGGAGACAGGAAAAGGTGGAGGGATGTCTACGTTAATTAATCAAGGTATTAGCATAATGAAGAGGGTTGACTTAAGATCTGGAAACCAAGATGCAGAAGCAGTTGGCAAGAAATGATAAAGGCAAGAAGTCCATTAGTGTCATAGAGCCTTACGGCACAGACAGGCCCTTCGGCCCTTTGAGTCTGCAGTAACCTATTGACACTAACCCTGCCTTCCAACACTTGGCTTGTGGTCTTGAATGTTACTTTTTAAAGGATGTGAGGTTTCCCGTCTCTACTAACCTCCCAGGCAGTGCATTCCAGTCTATTGTGGGAGTATCGTACTTGTCCCCTAACAGCAGCCGCATCATAGGAAGGGGCTTAAAGGAGGAAATAATGGGAGTTTGTCAGAAAGGTATGGTGATAATTATCGGGAATTTTAATCTAAATTTGAACTGGAAAAATCAGATGGGCAAACATGACCTAAAGGAGCATTTCCTATAATGTTTTGAGAACATGACCTGCTTTGAATCAAACCAGAAAGGAAGTCCTCAAGTCCTGATTGACTTCATACTATGGTCTTAAGATAAATGGCAATTGAGATAGTGCATTGGTTTTAATTTTCCAAAATTCGCTTGATTCGGGGAAGGTGAACAGGCAGAAGCAACATGGTTTCAGAAAAGGAAATCATGTCTAATCAATTTACTGACATTATTTGAGCAAGTAACATCTGATGTGGATTAAAGAAACATGATGGATGCACCGTATTTGTATTTCCAGAAGGCATTTGATAAAGCACCACATCAATGGTGATGATGGAAAATAAAATAGATGAAAATAAATTATAATGGGCATAACATTACAAAATCAATACAAGATTGGTTAGCTAACAGGGAACAGAGAGTAGGCATAAATGGGCCTTTTTTGGTTGGCAAGGTGGAATGAGTGGTGTACCACAGAAACTATTATTGGAACTTTAACATTTTACAACATGTACAAATGACTTGGCTGAAGGGAATGAGTTATTGCTAAATTTGCTGATGACACGTAGAAAAGTATGCTGTGAAGAGGACATAAGGAGGCAACAAAAGGAAATAGATTGCATGTGTGAGTGGGTAAAGATCTGGCAAATTAACTATAATGTGGCATTATATAGAAAATGTCCATTTTGGCAGGAAGTAAACATAAACACATTATTTAAATGGGTGTGATTGCAGAGCTCTGAGATGCAGAGGGATCTTGGTGTTATAGTAAGTGAATCTAAAAATATTAGCACGCAAGTACAGCAAATGATTAGGAAAACTAATAGAAAGTTAATGCTTATTCTAAGGGGAATTGAATACAAAAGTAGGAGAGTTCAGTTATGCTGTCACTGGTGAAACTATGTCTGGGTATCATGTTGAGTATTGGTCATCTTGTCGAAGTAAGGATAATAAATAGAAACAACAAAAACAAATTGCTGGAAAATCCCAGCGGGTCTGGCAGCATCCGTGGAGAGAAATCAGAGTTAACATTTTGTGTTGAGTGACCCTTCTCCAGAACTCTTCTTCAGAACTGTAAAGAGAAGGTAAAGAAGACTAATACCCAGGATCAGCACGTTCTCTTCTGATAAACATTGTACAGGTTCGACATGTATCTGATGGAGTTTAGAAGAATCCGAGGTGACTTCATTGAAACATACAAGATCCTAAGACCGAGATAAGAAAAATATTTTTCTCACAGACAGTTGTAAGTGTTTGGGTCTCTCTTCCTCAAAAGAGGATGGAAACAGAGTTCTTGAATATTTTCAGGCCGAATAAAATTTCAGCAGACTTGATCAATTCTTGGTAAGCCATGGGGTGAAAAGTTTCAGAGGGTTGGCAGAAGAAGTGCAACTGCACAGTGAGAGAGAGCAATTTTGAAACCTTTCAACAATGAAATAGGCTGAATTTTAGCAGAAATCGGATAAGTGTCAATTTGGGCGAGTTTCATGGAGGATCTCTGCGGGACCTACCTGGTTTTCTCATGCTTTCTTCCCAAACTCACATTATTACTTAAGCTCCCTACTGCTCCCTACTTGTCCGATTCTCCCACTCGTCACAGACGGAAGTTCTGACCTCTGTACCCACCAATGCCCACATTGTTCAGCGGCTACGAAAATTCAACCCAGTGAGTTGCATGAATATTATTAGTCTAATGAACACTGTCTGTTGGATAATTTAATGCTGGGGTTTAAGGTTAGGGTTAGGGTTAGGGTCACCCTAACTCTAACCCTATTTCATAAAGATTTACATTTACATGTTACCACATCTCAAAACCTCTCAGATACTGTAAATTATTTGATGTGCAGTGACTGTGTCCAAGACAAACAGGCAACCATTTAGCTGTGTTGACCCCAGTCTGTAGAATGCATGTGAATAGCTATACACTTTTTGTGTATTCGTCTGAATGTCAGTATTTATTCTCTCAGAACTAATTTGTTGCAAACTTATGCTTGTTACTTCATATCAATTTAAATGGAGTAGTGTCTTAGATACATAGGAACAGCAGTAGGCCACTCAGTCCCTCGAGCCTGAATGGCCATTCAATGAGATCATGGGTCGTCTGTGGCCTAACTCAATATACCTGCTTTTGACCCATATCACTTTGTTAGCAAAAATTTATCTATCCCAGATTTAAAATTGATTCAGCATCATCAGCCACTTGTATGAAGGGTTCCAAACATCTATCACCCTTTGTGTGTTGAAATGCTTTCTGACATCTCTCCTGAATGGTCTGGCCCTAATTCTCAGACTATGTCCCCTAGTTCTAGCGTCTCCAGCTACTGTAAAAAGTTTAACTTCATTTGCCCCGTCGTTTCCTCTTAATATCTTGAATGCCCGAGCTACTGCTCTGGTGAAATGGATTCAAATCCCACCACGACACATCATAAAACACGAAGAGTGGAGCTGGAGGTACACAGCAGGCCAGGCAACGTCAGAGGAGCAGGAAAGTTGACATTTCAGGTCGGGACCCTTTTTCTGACGGAGGGTCCCGACCCAAAACATCAACTCTCCTGCTCCTCTGATGCTGCCTGACCTGCTGTGTTCCTCCAGCTCTGTTCTTTGTTACCTCTGACTCCAGCTTCGGCAGTTCTTGCTATCTCATGCAATACGAAACTAGCTTTAGTAACAGTAACCACAAAACTACTAATGACTGCTGCAATAAAAAACCCCATCTTATTCACTGAGATAGTAGGAACTGCCGATGCTGGGGAATCTGAGATAACAAGGTGTAGAGCTGGATGAACACAGCAGGCCAAGCAGCATCAGAGGAGCAGGAAGGCTGATGTTTCGGGCCTAGACCCTTCTTCAGAAAAAAAGGGTTCATTTTTCAGCTTTCTTGCTCCTCTGATGTTGCTTGGCCTGCTGTGTTCATCCAGCTCTACACCATCTTATTCACTAACATTTTTATCTTTAGGGGAGGAAAATTTGTCATCCATTTTCAGTCTGACCTACATGTAAGTTCAGACTCACAACATTGTGGTTAACCTTTATAACAAAGGCAAAATAGTGCAGATGCTGGAAATCTGAAACATATGCAAAAAATGCTGGAGGAAATCAGCTGGCCTGGCAGCATCTGTGGAGAGAAAGAATATTTTGAGTCTGATATGACTCTTCTTTAGAACTTAACTGGTTTAACTCTCAGTTGTTCCATGAAATGGCCATAAGAAGCCTCTCAGTTCAAGTGTAATTAGTGATGCCCATATCCCAAGAAATAACAAATACATACAAAAAATGTCAGAGTCAAGAAGGAAATGATTGAAACCATGACCAGAATCACCTACCACATTAGGCTGACTGAGGACCTCCAGGATGTGGTTGAGTAATTCGATGCAGTGCTTTAATTCCTGGTTCTGTTGTTTCTCCTCTTTCTGATCCAGCTGGGCCTTCAGCTCATCAGTCATCATGGGAAGGAGGATGTCGCGGCATTCTGCAAAAAAGGTGCGGATTCTGAGACACGTTGAGTGCAAAAAGGAAGTTTGGGAATTTGGACACGCGTGCAGAAATAACTACTCAGAATCTGAAATAGAGAGCTAATAGATTGCCATCTGTAATCTGTTTTAGAGATGAGATTGCTGTTGTTACCTGATGTGACCTATATTTCATTCCAGTCCCATTCTGAGGGGGATGTCTATTAGTTGCCATTAAGGGAGAACACATGTGAAATTGCAGCAGCAGTTCATGAATGAGACCTACCATCAGCATCTCATGGTAACCAGGGACAAGCAATATATATGCCAGAACTTGCAGTGGTCCTCAATATTTCATGAACTAATGTTTGTTTCTAAAAGTGACAATAACATCCTGTTGAACTAAAATGAGACAATGAAATAACCGCATAGAGACTGGTATCCCGTCACCAAGACACCCTTTATTTATTTGTACACTGTACACTGGCTGTGGCCAGCCAGCTCAGAGTCAGTCCCTGAACTGAGGAGATTCTAATCTCCTGATTATACTTATTTTTTTCACCTTATCTCCTGGTTATATTGGTCAGCCAGTGTTCTCCTGATTGACCCAGGTTAACACCCCAATCACTGACCACATAATCAATGAGGCCAACCTGGTTCCAATCACCACAGATAAGCTTGCAAAATGCCAAGATATTCCACTGTTCCTCCGGTTTCAAAGTTATATTAGCTGGTGAAATTCTCCACTGAACCCATGCCGCTCAATGGAAGCAATATCCACTGGACAGACTTCCACAGGAGAATACTTCCCATTTTCGGCATCACTATGCATTTGGAGTGCAAGTTGAAATAGGTAGGAGCAAAGTTTCTTCTGAGTTTATTATTTTGTGTTGTTGCTAGGACAGAGTTGTTATGTGTGGGCAACTGCTGTGTTTTGAACAACATAAAAGGGTCATTACATTGAGGAAGTTATTTCCGAAAACAGGGAAAAGTCAGCTTCATAATTGCTATCTGCTGGCATTATATTCAGATATAGTGAAGGCTAGTAAAGCCAATGTAAAGTCATTAGAGGCATAAAATTGTTAGAGTACATTTATAAGTCTAACATAGATAAGTAGAGCGCTGGGAAATTTGACCTAAAACTGCTAAGTGCTGACCTTAAAACTATGAATTTAATATTAGACAACAATATAAATGAAGGTCAAGTATTTTTTCCAAGTATTTAAGCTATCTTTTGTAAGTGTGTTTTGATTGAAGGTGAGTAATATATCAGTTTTAGAGTTTGGAATCCAAACTAGAGGCATATGAGCATTGGTTACTTTAGTGAAGGGATTATGAAAAAAAGCCTCTCTGTAAAAATGATCTAATCCAATATGCATCAGAAAGCAGGGAACCCCTGAACATTTAATGAAATTATTTAAAAACTTTTGGTTTTATAGCCTGGAGTGTAAACATTGAGGCCCATTATCTTTGATTTAGAATAATGAAGGATTGATTTTAGACTACAAAATCCAAAGATTGGAAGCCTTTGCATCATTTATTTTTGGAGAAGGTATGGCTGGAGTCAGAAGTATAATATAATTTCTCTCCTAGAAAGGACTACAGATTAGTTCAGGAAATAAGTTACTTTTGTAGGAACTCAGTTTATGCAATTTCCAGACCAAGAGTGTTTGGGTAGAAATCTGCAGGTCATTGAAAGCTGAGAAAGTCTAAGCTTTCAGCTTCATTAATATTCATGTAAGAAGGCTTAACAGTCATAAGAGAGCACTGGGAAGAAGCAGTCGAGTTGAACTTGAAGCTTTGAGAGGGAGGGTACATTCTCTGGGTCTGACTCTATAAGGTGTTGGGGAATAAATGAGGCTATGATTTGCTTGTGTTTTAAGATCTGTCAAGCTGTCATCTGTATTTACCGAGCTTTGTTTAATTCTGTTATTTTCCTTTTATGTAATGAACTTTTGTTTTATTTTTAAAGAAAATCTGAAGCCTCGTGTGCTTATGTTTCAGTGAATGATGTTCATTTTTTAAAAAATCCATTCAAATAGGTTTCATTCTGAGATCTGATTTGTCTAGTAGTAGCATCAGCTAGCACTGTGTGAGTGTTAGTAATGAACTTTGATGATAAATCTACAGTTTTGTCTTAAATTTAGACAGCTGTCTAAATAAAGGTCAAGTATTTTCTCCATACATGCATGCAAATTTCTAATAGTTTTGTCCTGTTAAAATTTGATGTAGTGTGCAGAACACCTTATGAAGCAGGGGTGGTACAGTGTCTCAGTAGTTAGCACTGCTGCCTCACAGTGCAAGGGATGCAGGTTCGATTCCACCCTTGGGCAACTGTCTGTGTAGAGTTTGCACATTCTCACTGTATCTATGTTGGTTTTCTCCAGGTGCTCCAGTTTCCTCCCACAGTCCAAAGACATGCAAGCTAGGTGGATTGGCCATGCTAAATTGCCCGTAGCGTTCAGGGATGTGTAGATTAGGTGGGTTATGAGGGTCTGTGTGGGATGCTCTGATGGGCAGTGTGAATTTGTTGGGCCGAAGGGCCTGTTTCCACACTGTTGGGATTCTATGATCACTAAGTAGAATTTTGGAGTTATTCTTATGCAGTGGTTGCTTGGTGAAACCAGGCACAGATGAAGAGAGTTAGTCCCCCCTTTCTATCTCACAAACCAAGTGGTATAAACAGGACATGACTCTACATGTAGACCAGATTGGAGCCCAGTTTCTGTGTAAGTAGACAGATCTAGAAAAGTGATGGCCAGTTGACGTGGAAACCTCTCTTCTGGGGAGGGTTGCTGGGGTGAACGTGAGCCGACACTCGTGGATTGTTGGCATCTTGGAAATGGACCAATCAGACAGTGTGTAGGAGGCAGAGCAGGAAGCAGAATCTAGTTCAGCATGGTGTTCATTAGCTCCACGCTGTTACTTTTGCCTGTCAAGGAAGTGGGGATAGCCTGGTCAGCTACCTGAAAGGAGAACCCACAAGCACTGATTGACCAACTAATCCTCTTTGATCTTCAAGTAAACGAACTAACTAAAGCAGAATGGCATTCACTAGTGTGAGAAGTATTAAATTGTTCGACTGATTGTATTAACAGAAAATATATGTATGTAAATAATAGCTCGCATACAAGTTCAGCATGTGATAAGGAGGGAAAAAAGAACACTGGCCTTTATTTCATAGGGTATAAATAGTAGGAAAATCTTGCTGAAGCTGTACAAGCCACAAGTCAGAACACACCTGGAATAAAGTGAACAGTTTGTCCCCTTAGAAACATGTACTGGCATTGGAGGCAGTTCAGTGAAGGTTTGCTAGGTCAATCTTAAGCGTGGAGGGAATGTCTTATGAGGAACATTTGAGTAGGTTGGGCTTGTACTCATTAGGATTTAGAAGAATGTGAGGCAGCATAGTTGCTCAGTAGTTAGTACTGCTGCCTCACAGTGCTAGGGACCAAGGTTCAATCCCAGCCTTGGCTGACTTTGTGAAGTTTGCACATTCTCCCTCTTTCTGCCAGGTGCTCTGGTTTCCTCGCATTATCCAAAGATGTGCAAGCTATGTGGACTGGCCATAATTAAAAATGTGGGGATAGGTAGTGGGCTAGGTCTGGATGGGATGTTTTTTGGAAGGTTAGTATGGGCCGAATGGCCTTGTCCTGCAATGTAGCTATTCTGTGATTCTTATTGAAACATTCAAGACGCTTAGGGCACTTGACAGGTTAGACATAAAGTGGTTGTTGCCCCTTGAGAGAGAGTCTGGGACCAGAGGGCATAGTCTCAGAATAAGGGGTTGCACATTTAAGACAGAGATGAGGGGAAATTTCTTCTCTTGGAGTGTAGCCTATCTCTAGAATTCTTTACTGCAGAGTGCTGTTGAGGCCAGATCGCTGAGTATATTTGAGGCTGAGATAGGCAGATTTTTAATCAGTCAGGGAATTATGGGTGGTGGGATAAAGCAGAAAGATGGAGTTGAAGTTATCAAATCAGCCATGATCTCATTGAATGGTGCAGCAAACTCAATAGTTTGAATAGTCTATTTCTGTTCCTATATTTTATAGTCTTAATAAAGTGTTGTTGCTTTGGGTGAAATCTTGTGTCTTGGGTCATTTATATCCGGCGTAGATCTCCCAACTCAGATGAGCTATAGGAATAGTCTACTTATGAGCAATGTGTGGTACTGCTGAAGTTGTATGATCTCTCTGAACTATTATTGAACAAATTATTGCCTATAAGTATATACATAAGGGCTTTTGTGATGCCTTGGTAGTGTCCCAACCTCTGGACTAGGTTCAGGTCCCACCTACTCCTGTGTATGTAATAATTTCTCTGAATAGGGTTAACTGGAAAATGTCTAACAGAAACATCTTTCCACAGGTATCTCGAATACAATATAACTCTGCACATAAGCATGGTAGAGTAGGGTTTCACCAGTGCCTTTTTTCCTTTAGATGTAATCTAATATTGTCATGGCATGTTCCTTATTCACATTCTCACTAGCTATTAGAATTCTATTCCAATTCTGAAGAAAGGTCACTGGATGCGAAACATTAACGCTGCTTTCTCTCCACAGATACTGTCAGACTTGCAGAGTTTTGCCAGCAGTTTCTGTTTCTGTAGCTATTATTTGTTTATTGATGAGGTTAACCATTTATATCTTTCCCCAAGTATCCCAAAGCCAGAACTCACAGCCAGCAAGGTGAATGTGTATAACTTCAGGTGAAAGAAGACCAAATCTGAATATGTTTTGAGTGAAGAAGCTGTTAGACTGTGGTAAAAAAAAAACCAACAGGTTTAAAAATTTAATCAGAGATAGTAGGAACTGCAGATGCTGGAGAATCCGAGACAACAAGGTGCAGGGCTGGATGAACACAGCAGGCCAAGCAGCATCATAGGAGCAGAGAGGCTGACGTTTCGGGCCTAGACCCTTCATCAGAAAAGGGGGAGGGGAAGGGGGTTCTGAAATAAATAGGGAGAGAGTGGGAGGCGGATAGAAGAGGGATAGAAGAGAGGATAGGTGGAGAGG